GCCGTCCCCCCTTTGTCCCACCCTCCAGGGAGCCTGGCCCTCAAGGGTCTGAGGGTGATGACCGATTTGCCGATAGGCCGATCTGGCCGAAGAGACGTCCCATCTAAACAAGCGACCTCATGAACAGAGCCTGTAGGTGCTGGCTGGAATGAGCGATGGAGAATTGGTCATGCAAAGCTAACTAACACCTTGACGACAAGGTTGACAGGCCGATCGACATGTATGACAGACCAGTCTGACAAGGTCAGCTTGAACCGGACAGAGACGTTGTGCCACGTTTTCTGTCTCCTCACTTCCGATGTAGGACTGAGGCAGCTCCTGGTTGCACGGTCAAGTCCTCATCGAGACTTCTTACACTGTGGACAATTGATTTATTAAATGTTGATTTGCTATTTATTTCCGGGCTCGTCAAAGCCTGTCCGAGGCCCCCAACGCAAGCAGATTTTGGTGACCCGTCCCCACGGCATCGGGAGAATAGAGAAATTCAGGCTGGATCCTGTTTGGGGCATTTGTTTAACTTCGCAGGCCCGAAAAGTTCCTGGGTTGCAAGAAGAAAAGAGGCTCCGACGGCTATGGAATGCAGTGGGCAAGGATAGTATTGTCCTAGTGTGGGTGAAAAGCCAACAGCCCATTTGAGTGAGCGACTAAAATTGGAACTTTCTATCGATATGAATTAACTTTAAGCTATTTGAGTAATAGTTAAACCAGAACCTGATTAGTACAATCCTCTCTTCGCAAGGTTCTTTAAATGGAGCTCATTTTCGAATGCATCGCCCCCTCCGTGTTCGGCAACCTCAGCTAAGCTCGTCTTAATCACATCAAAAAATAATCAGTAAGCGAAATAACAGCATTACAACGGACGTGTTGGATGTGACGAATGCCTTCATTTGCCCATCCAAAAGCGAACGAGGATCTTATTTGAGGTGTGACTTCAGACTTCAGCGAAGGCGTTCTCGGATTTCGATGAGGCCAATCTACGAATCCCTTCTATCCAAACGTTCCTTCAAAGTGAAAAGGAGAATTGTCAAATAATTCTTGATGTAAGTAGTTTTCGAGACTATCGTTAGGCCAAGGTCACTTGAGGTGAGCTAAGGAATGACAGAGATTTTCTCGTAATCTCATAAATAGGTCTCAGAATCATGAGGCCTACTTTACTACTTGTGGAAAAATTCATTTATCGGTCTTTAGATCAACTCCTGCAACGTTGAATGACTAAGTTCTCTCTTTTTCTTTCTCTCCTTATAAGCCCTAGTGATTTCGACAGGGCCTACCCATGAATTTAAAAGGTCAAATAAATGAACATGCATTCAGATCGTCGGGAGGATAGGGATAATGAGGAAAGTCGGAGGTTTGAAAGCCGACATTTATTATTTGCTAACATCAGGCAGAGTGTCTTAAGTTCTAGCTGCCTGAATTCCAGATCTGGAAATGCCTTTCAGGTGGAAAGATAGACGAAAACTCAACTCGTTTTTATCCAAAATGTTCGACAGCATCGTAGTACTACTACATCATTCCAGAATAATCGTCTTTCGGTGACGTCGGCCCATGCATCGCTTCATCGGGCACTTTCACACGAAATAAAATTCCCAACAGCTACATTTATTCATATAATTCAACTTTTAGGTTAGCATATGAGGAGAAAGTGAGGCTCGAGTAATCTTTTGGTATATCAATGCTGATTTAACTTCTTTTTCAAGTGAAACTGAGTGGTGTTGAGGTACTCAAGTAAACTCCATTAGAGGGAGACAAGAGGTTTCAAATGCTGACGCAGTTCTACGGACAATCCTTTTCGGTGTTGGTGAAATCGAGCCTGTGTTTAATCAGTCATGCCAAGAGGCAAACTTTAGCATGCTGTTGAGTTCCCTTCCATTTTCAGTGAAAGTCTGTGTGATGAAAAGCAAGGTCGATTTCACCAGAAGACGATTGCAGATTCCTCTTGGCCAGCCGTCTGAGCATTCTTGCTGAGGCCGTCTCCCGAGCAATCTCTTTCGAATCCTATGGGAACATGCTAAGTCTTCTTCTGTCATTTGGCAAACATTACTAGAACAGGGCTTCATTTTTACTACCATATTCAGGCTAACGAGTCAAAAAATCACAGGCTTCGTCATAGACACTGTAGATATACATAAAAACTATGCATTTTGATGAGGTATAAAGTAATTCGGTTAGTTCACTC